ACAGCTGAGTTATATAACCTCCCATCTGTCCTTGCGATATAGGCCAATGCAGTGGGGAGCAGTCCTTAATGGGATGGCTGGTTGAAGGCATTAAAGATACATGGTTGTCACCAAGGGAAACTAACATATTTAGCAGGGTCTGGAGGACTATAAAGGAGGTGCAGGCATTACTGAAAGAACTAGGTATGAGAAAAGCAATATATGATGTCCAGTTCACTGGGCCAGATAAGACTGTATTCACCAGAGATATGAAGGAAAGCTTAATTCAACTGGGACCTCAAAAGTGGTATGGAGCTTTAATGGCTTTTCTAAGCCCTTTGGACAGAATCTGTGTAAAGTGAGAGAGGCTTTGGCAAATCTAAATGATTCTGACCAGCATGTAAAACATGTCTGTAAAATAACAGAACAGATATAAAAAAGACCAGACAGAGGAAATTGTCCACTTGGGTTACTGGAAGACAAATGTGGCAAGACTTATATAAACCCAGAGACTGCCTGACTGAGGGATCCAACAAGTGCAGAAGGGGCAGAAGAAGCCCTCTGCCTCCTTAGCCCAGTGCAGGGTCAAGCAACTGGAGCCAACACCTGTAAGTGTATCAAGAATAAAAGAATACAAAAAGACTCCATGTAAAATCCCCCAAGCACAAAATGACTCCAAAGGGATAAATAAAGATGGTAAAGAGCTAACCAAATTAATGCCTCATACCCATGCTGTGATACCTAACAATACAAATGGACATAACCTTTCCATGCTTTGTAAGACCTTGTCTATGATTGATTTAATATATGTTAACCTTCTTTCGAGGGTTTTACAGATGTGAAACCCATTTGAAAGATACATGAAGAAGCAAAGGCCAGCTATAGCTGTAAGGTTCTTGGGAGTTTTATGGTTGGGTAAGATGAAGACAGAGACTCCCAAACTATAAAACTGTTAAGAAAATCTACAGTACCAGGGGTGGGTTGCCCGCCATGAGCTGTTGGTCAGAGAGAGATCCTAGAGGTCCTCCAATTCACCGAGGCTGTTGACATTAATGTCGGTTGTACACTAGAAAGGTCAGTAAGGCCATGTTGCTGAAGACACTGCATGATGTGAGCACCCGGAGAAGAGATAGAACTGAGACTAAGCCAAAAACACTCTGCCACTGGATGGATTTCATATTGCCAGAAGGTGCTATGCAGATGGATGAGGAAGAAAAGATCCCCTATCATTCTATTCAATTATGGACTCGGCAGGTTGCACACTATGGACATGCCAAGCAATACCTGCAAGTGCAATAACGGCTCAATCAAAATATGTACAACTGACAAATTTCTGATTGGATAAGGCCCACTCCTAGGGGTGGAACACACATGTGATGCTGTAGACCAGGCCAACGCCTTGTGTCAAGAAAGGCTACAGGCCCTAGTGGCGAAGCCATCACAAGTATACTGTTTAACGAATATAGTACACCTGCTGGGATATCTTCTGGGCATTTGTATTTACATTCATGTTTGTTTAAATGTGTCTGCTTCCCTCCATTTGTCTTTATAGTAGAAGAAACACCACTGAGATAGATCAGTGGCCACAGCCTAAAGATGAATAATGGGAAGGTCCAAGAAGCCACTATCTCTCCATGATACAAGAGAGATTGCCCTACATCTGTCACCTCCTCCAAGGCTCAGGGACCTTAGCAGAAGATGGACAAGAAGATTGTAAGAGTGGAGGAAAGTGGTGGAGTGTCTCCCAACTGGCTAGTTCCTCCAAGGAGTGGGGCCTACTGCAGAGGGTGGACTACTGAGGGGCTGCTGGGGGCCATCTTGAAACAGAAGCCGTGAGCAGTGGGTAGCAGATGTGTGGGGAACATGCAGCCATGCAGTAGCTCAAGGACAGACTGGCCTAACACTTATGGACCTGGGGCATCACTGGCCCCTGAGGCTTGGGCAAATGCTAGTGGTGGCTATTGGTGTGGCACAGTCTGATATGGCAGTTACTGACCTGTGCCGCCAGAGGCACCACCGGAACTGAGCAGCATGGGGCTAGGCACTGGGTATTCATTCCTTTGTAAGTTACTCCCCTCTCCTCCCCAAGAAAATAGTAAATGCACATAAAGATATGTGATATGGTTTGCTTGATAGCGCAAGAGACTGAGAGTGAACTCTGGTGACATGAACATATTTTTACCAAACTCTGGTGCACCCAATTTCATAAAAACAGTACTACAGGACTTTAAGAAACAGATTAACCCCAACTCAGTAATATTAGGGGATTTTAATACCATGCTGACTCCATTAAAGGCCAACTGAACAACGAACAAACAGAGAGACATAAGAATTAAATATCACACATCAAATGGACCTAACAAATATCTACTGAATATTCCACTAAAGAATACACTTTCTATTCATCACCCCACAGAACTTTTCTAAAATTGACCACATACTGGGTCAAAAAACCTCAACAATACAAAAAAAAAAAAAAAAAAAAAAAAAAAAGAAAAGAAAAGAAATAGTTCCCTGCAGTCTAATAGAACACAACAAGATAAAGTTTAAAATCATCACTGAAAGAAGCCCTAGTAACTACAAGAACTCATGGAGATTTAACAACAAACTCCTGAATGATGAACGGGTCAAAGAAGAAATTAAGAAAAAAATAAAAGTATTCCTGGAAATAAATGAAAAGGATAATACAATATAACCAAACCTTTAAAAGCAGGTCCTACCAGGGAAATTTATAGTTCTAAGTGCCTACATTGAAAAATCAGAAAGAACACAGCTAAATGAATTAACATGGTAACTCAAGACTCTGGAAAGGCAAGAACAAATTAAACCCAAACCCAGCAGAGGAGAAGAAATAATAAAACTCACAGCAAAAATTAATGAAATAGAAACAAAGTAAACAATACAAAGAATCAATGAATCTAAGAGCTGGTTCTTTGAAAAGCTAAACAGGATGGATAGACCCTCAAGCCACTTAACCAAAAGAAAGAAAAGAGCAATTCCAAACCAAGAAAATCAGAGACGAAAGGGAAATCATCACAACAGACATCAAAAAGATCCAGAACAAATGTTCACAGTGTTGAGTGTATGCTGGAGGTGTGGCGACAGTGTGACTGCACTCATTGCATGGGATTTGAGAGAAAGTGGGGAGATAAGTGGAGGATAACAACAAAGACTTTCTCTATAGCATGGAATGTTGGAATAGATAAATAGCTGTGTGAGACATAGAACTAAAGAGAAAGCAGCAGGCTCAGAGATGTCATGAAGTTCGGTTTTGTAATGTAAAGATGAGATGCTTTGAACATACAACCACAGTACTAGATGCATGAATGCAAAGCCCTGTGTATCATGTCTTCACCATGAATTTCATATACAAAAATGTTCACAATCTTTTAGCGCTTAAGGTTTACATATTTCTAAATTTTATAGACTAGTTTGTGAATCAGCAATGTGAATATTTCAGTCATATGCAACTAAGTGAATTGTGTTTATGTAACAGAGCATTTTGTCTTAAAATAATGTGTGATTTCTCTTAGGTACCTTTATGATAGGAATTAGAAAAAAGAAATAAAGAGTATATTTATCCTTATTGTTAAAGAAAAAAAAGGACGCTCAGGAGTAAGGGCTTTTGATACTGTGGCTGTGTAGAAATGGTCTCCACCTCAGAGCCTCGAAAGCAATTCCTCACAGCCTCTTTTCACTGGCCAAAGGTTTAACTCTTGATACTGGAAACCTTTGACATTTTGAAAGTTTTCTGTATTTTAACAAAAAGTTTTCTCCATAATCCTCCTGAAGAAGAAGCATGTTTTGTGTGACAAAAAGTAAAGCATCCACATCTGAGATTTCTTGTATTTCCTGGTTATCCTAGGTTTATTCCCAGTGGAAATTCAGATGCAGTGGCCCCTGAAAACTCGACTCCACTTCACAGGTCCTTAGGAAGGAGTTACCATGGCAATTCTTAATAACCTCAAAAGCTGTTCACAGGAAAATCCTTAAGTTTGGACCAAAGAAAGTCATCAGATCTATTACAGAGATAGGAAACTACATTGCCTAACTTTTCATGCAGGAACAAACAAATTTGTGTTTTTTAAATAACTTTTGTTCTTCAATCAAACTGAATATTTTTTTTGATACTATTTTCATCTGAGGTTATTTTCAATAGAACTTATGTAAATGAATGCTGGGGTTTCTCACAATCCAAATTTCTGAATTTAACCTTTTCTCTATTCCAATACTTTTCTGTGAATATGTGAAAATCAGGTCTTATTTAAAATCATTGTGATGCTGTGACTGCAATTTAAGTTATTTTTACTTGGTATGGTGGTGCACGTCTTTTAAAATCCTAGCACTTGTGAGGCAGAGGCAGACAAGGCCACCCTGACCTACACAGTGAGTTCCAGGTCAGCTTTGGCTACATGGACAGAAAAAAAAAAAAAGCTAAAACCAAAAAGTTCAACTGCCTTTTGAAAGTTTATAGAAAATTAACTATCTTTCTTGATGAATAAAATTATAAAGTTATGTATATATATATTTCATTTTAAGTCTCAAATATACAATGTCAGAAAAAATGTGACATCTTAAAGAGCCAACAACAATCTCACCAAATTTTCATCAATTTTTAGATGTTGCATTAGAATCACCATTTTTCAGACAGCAGATCCAGCACCTTCAAACTAGAAGTCTGGCATAATAGTAAAATAAATAGTTTTGATAGAATTGTATACTTACCAAAAAAGTTGTGTTTTCCCATTTTTAGTATTGTATTGGAATAAATAACTCCCTTAAGAGATCAACTAGGAAATGACAGGCAGTTCATTAACAGTGTGTTGTGGAACTAATAAACACATCTGAGTCAAATGAAGGTTTTTTTAGTACTTTCAAATACTTGTATAATTTGATCTTGGATATTTTTATGGGAATTTTGAAGACAAACGATTATTTTGTTTTTTTAAGTTTTATTTACTTTTTGAGGAAACACAAAATCTAAAATTAAAACCTGAATTAGAAATTAGACAATGGTTTGAATCTGTGGTATGTAAACCACTTATAGCTCCTTGAAATTTCTCAAAATAGTGTTGGGAATTGTTTCATGCTTAAATCTTTGTTAAAATTTAGTTTGACTTTCATCAGGATTATATCATTCACCACAAAAATAATTTTAACATAATAAATGTACTGATAACATCAAGGACAGAACTAACAACATTGAGATCTGAAACTGTCAGACACTGATAAACACCTTCCAAATTCTCAACACTTCCCAACACTTAGTGTAAAGTGCATTTATTATAGCTATAATTATTTGGTTTCTAAATAATTTTCATTAGTCCAGTGACATTGTACTCTTTCTTTGAATAAAAGGTTCGGTTTGAGTGTTTTGATGCACAGAATTGCAATCTTATATTTTACTACAATTTATGTGAATTTAGCTGTAAATTCATTGAAGGATGAACTTCCCAAAATTATTATTATATGTGGAATTAATGTCTGGATACTTAAAAAATAAAAGCTTGTATTCATGAAAAATATTTTCTAGGCTATAAAGAGTGTGTGTGAATAATGCGATAAAGTCAAGGCTTGTTTGTATTCCTATACTTGTATTTATTTGCCCATTTGAAGAATTAAATAATGACCAATAGTTCCACTATCATATGGGAAGCATATTTTTATATCAAAACAAGAAAACAAGTCCTTTTCATTGCTGAACATTATGTAAACCTTGAATATTTAGCCACATTTTCTTTTACTCCAATAATGCTTCTTCAGGTCTGACCTAATAGCCTCACGAATTCACTTTGCTCTGCATTATATCAGCCACCCATGCGCACAGCAGGCCAAAACTGAAATATCTGCCTGTGAGTCTATCGATCTCATGTATATACCATATGATCTAAAATTTAAAAGACCATGCCAAGAATCTGTTCATTTTACTTTATATGTTGAGAATCTTTCTGGAATATTGCCATGGCCAGTGGCAAATTTCCAAGTAATCATTAATAAATATGCACTCAATAAAAGAAGCAAAAGGATAATATTAACCAACCTAACAAAGCAGAGCTTTGAACAAAACTGCAAAAGTCCATAAGCTTCTCAGTGGGTTTCCCAGATAAAATGCCCCGAAAGGACCAGTGGTGTGGCCTTACTAAGCCTGACGTGTGTAAAGCCAAGGAGGCCTATGTCTGAAGACATGCTGCCACGACTCTGAGGGTTTCAACTGTGAGAGGAGTCATCTATTCTCCCTGAAGTCTAAAATAATTCTTGATTTTTCTTGGTGTTATACAGTGAATTCTGTTTCTTCAGCAATATTACAGAAATGGTAAAAATTTAACGATGATCTGGTTAACAATATTAAAGAAGACCTCTTCCTTGGCTTTTCTGTTTAGGAACTTTAATACTGTAAAAAAGCATTTTCTATGAAATGACATAAGGAATGCCTCTCCCTACAATTATGCAAACTATTGTTGAAATAAAAGAAATCATGCATGCCCACTTCAACAACTTGCGTGATAAAACTCACTTTATACTCATTTATAATACTTCCTTTCTACTGTCTTAGCATAGTGCCATGTTTTAAATAGCATAGATTAAATTTGCTAATGTTACACAATGGAGTTAATATTGTATGAGAACATTCAAATCAAGCCCTTAAATGTCCTTCCTCAAATGATATCTGTTTTACCCTTACAATATCGATGCACATACTGATTTGGGGGAAGAGAGTACAAATAAAATGTGTATGCCATTATCGCTGCTTGAATCTATTTTAAAGAGGCACTTCTTCATATTTCTTACAGTACACTTTTAGGATAATCTTTTCCTTTTTAAATAACAAATGATATGTATGTAATTATCATTGAGAACATGATGAGGAGATTTATTTATTTTTAAACCAGTTTTGGAAGCAGCTTCCCCTGAAAAAACTGGAAAAAAAAGAGGGAGAAGAAGAAATAAAAGATGGAACCAGTGGGGTGAAAAAAGAAAATGGGAGTTTGGCTTACAGTTCAGTGGTAGAGTGCCTGCCTAGCAAGCTCAGAACTCTGGGCTCAATGCCCAGCACCATTTTTTTACGTTAATGGACAATGAACAATTAGAGGATTTCAATTCAATCTGGTAACGCTTCGAAGTTAACAAATGTCAAGTAATGAAACCACGTAAGGAAAAATGTAGATTTCAAATTAAAGAAAAAAATTTATTAGGACTAACTACTGTGATGTAAGTGGAATGCACTATGGAAATTAAAGTGAAATAACACAGGCGTGCTTATATATGAGATTACATAACCGTAAATATAGCTATGTGATGTAGAAAAATCACAACAGGGAAAAATTTGTCTAAATAGTGCTTCAGCTGGTTGTTGAAGGGAATATTCTAAAGTTGTTTAAATGTTCTTTGATGAAGCAGCTTCAAAACCATTGCCTGAAAATGAACGTACCCTCAGACTAAACTAGATAAAGCAATCTCAAAAGATATCATTGTACAATTTGTTCGTTCATTTTTAAATATTTTACATGATTTAGCCAACTCTCAGTTGCTCATTTGAAGATGAGCAGACACTCAGCAATGCCAAGGCAAAATTTCCAAATGTGGGGTTTGGAGACAGTGTGAATGATACTAGGTATTTTTATATGTGACACTAGATTTAAGATAGGGGAAGGGAGCTGGCTACATTGAATGACATCTGAAGCTGGTAGAATTCTGAGAACTGCCAACAAACAGTGCACTTCAAGAGAATCTCATGAGAATGAGCAGTTGATTGCCCTTCTGTACTGACATTGCTCTTGTTTTATTCAAATGACTCCTACTGCCTGACACATATTCACATCGTAAAAAAAAGCCAAGGGCTATACTATGTATGCCAAGTAGACAAACACACACACACACACACACACACACACACACACACACACGCAGCAGTAACAGTGCAGCCGTTCTTATCTACTAGAACTGCCCTGGCTATTAATCCCCGATTCATTTCGATCTCTGCCACCACAATGGGTAGAGGAGAGGACATGATGGTCATTATTCTTCTGACTGGAAGTTGGCATTCTTAAAGTACCTTTCACAATTCAAGATCTTTGTACTTTACAAGCACTAAGCAGTCCATGAGTATGCTGCAGATTGGTGTGTTGATTCAATTTTAAATTTTTTGGCTACACAATTATAACTGGAATTTTGAAGTTTTTGGCTAAAGAGTATGTAAAGGCTACTATATGGTTTCCAAATGTTCTTGACATTTTTCTTTTGAAAGAATAATGGTAAATTCTCAATCTCAAAATTTATCATGCTGGGAAGGTGATCAAAGTCTTGCCTTTCTATACATGAATTTGAAATTTAAATGAAGATTTTTAACATTTGCTAGAATTATACAATTTTATGAAATAAAGCTTTAAATCATATACAGATTGGAGTATAGACTTAAACTGTTATATGATGTCTTAGATGTCCTCCAGTGATCTATTTATATGTGTCAACTGCCATGTTTTCTTTCAGTTTTTTCTCAAAAGAAAATGTGAGCATATGGGAACGTGAGGATAATTAACTTGAATTAAAAAAGAAATTTTTTTATACTTGATTGCCTGATAACATCCATTTCACTAAGGTGAGAGACACTCAAGATTTCATTATATGATATGTTGAAAGTCTTTGAATAGAAACCCTGAAGTCTGTTTCTCTGCTTCCCAATTTCATTGACTTCAGTGAAAGTTGTTTTCAGAAACATCCCTAAGACCACTAATGGGACTTAATTTATAAGCCTGCCCCATCAAGGATTTATTAGAACTCAGTAAAAATATATATGTTGTGTATGAATGTTTATATTTTCAACAAATGCACAATAATTAGATATTGGCCCCTTATATGTAAGTGGTAAATTTTATGCTCAAAATTAGCTGTGAAAACACTATTCACATATGAGTTCTCATTTCTTGGTCAAATGGTTTTGAGAGAAAATGTTCCTAAGGTATACCAGACAGAGATAACAATGAAATCTTAAGTAAAGGGCACATTGTGAAGACAGAAGTACAGACAAAATCTGCTCTCTTTGAGAATTCCACATCTTCAGTGGATAAACATCTTTTCTTGTAAGACTCTGCAAGTCAACGAAGGGTTTCATTCATCAGTTCCTTTGCTATTCTTTGTCTCCAGGATGCAGTTAGAGATAGTTCTAGAACACAGTTTCTCTGAAATGAAAATCACTAAACGGGAAGACATTAATTGTAACAGTTTCCTGGAATAATTTAGCTTCCTGTGCCTAAAATAGGTTTGAATACTGACAGAGTTTCAGAGAAAAACAATGAAACAATTCACTATGATAGCAGAAATATGGCTTCATAGGCAACAGGGCTATATGTAATTAACTTTCATAGTTGCTGTATCTTTCTGTTCCTTATTATAATTCATGTCACTGGCTCAAACTTTTGAGTCAATGTCTCCCAAATTAAATTGCTACCAAAATTTACAAACTCGACTTGAAAATTACATTGTATTTACAAAGAACTTGGCACTTACAGAATAAATTATTGACCTTTTTGATTTTTAAATCCATCCCAGGGCACCCACAGTTTAGGCAAATGGGAAAGCTTGGTGCCTTATTATATATTATGCTACATTAACATTAATAAGGTTTTCCAGCAGATAAGTACTCCACAGTGCTGTCCCTGTTGCTCGAAGCCAGTACCTTCCATTTGTAATCCAGGGTGTGAGGGTTGGAAAAGTCTTAGTCCAGAGAAAGCAAAGGCTGCATGTTTTCTTCCTCACTTTTATCCATGCGTTTTAGTACTGTGGGGTCCACTACTGATTGAGATCTGGAAAGAATAGAGCCAAGGTCAGTGATGCAACGCCGGATAATTCCCTAAGTCACATTCCCTTCTAATTGCCTCTACTTCTCCCACAGATGTGAATTCTCTTTCCACCATCAAAGGATTTATGAACTGTGGATATTACATATTTAGATTTTGGTGTCCAAATGAAGAAACAATTCCCTCTTGCCTCCAGGGTCCAGAGTAGCAAAAGAATCCAAATAATAATATACTTAATGTTCTATTCACAACTGAACAAGTCTTCTCTTGGAGATACTGAAATTTTCCAGTGTAGGACAGATGTTCTCCAAGGTGAAGAAAAGAAAAAGCAGCTACAGTTAAGTGGTTGTGACAATGACCTTCAGCAACAGTAAGAGGCTTGATTCGAGTTAATTTTATGACACCACTGAATGAACTCACACCAAGGGACAGCTAGGTACACAAACTTGACTCAATGGGCCTTTACATATATGACAGAATGAATGAAGTCCTGTGGGAGGGGGCTGTAGGGGCTGCAGATAGGGGAGGGGGTCTAACTATGATTAAGATGTTTGAAATACACAAAAATTCAATAAAATATATAATGAGGAAAAACTTAAAATAAATTCGATATAAATATAACTTTTAAACCATAATTTCTTCTTATTAATGATTATATCAGTGAAAAGCCAGAATTTGAATGTAATTTTGTTACTAAAATATGCAATTGAATGTAATTTTCCACTAAAATATCCAAATGAAATCATCCATATATTTGAAAGCTTCAAGAAATGGTTAAAGATTTTTAAAATAAAAATTGCTTATTTAAGAAGGAAGACTCTGTAATTAGGAAAGCACATAATTTGAAACCCCTGTGTACACACATGCTTTTGATAGCAAGGGGGAAGGAAACAATTTGAAAGTGGGAAGGAGAAAAATCAATGAAACATGCTAGTGTTGTGGCAGGAAGCTGCTGTCTTAATAGCTGTGGCATTAGGAAGCAGCTGGCCTTTCAGAGCTCTCCTTGTAATGATTTTCTCCCTGCTGCTGCACGGCCTTTTGCTGTAGTGATGTAGCTCTTAACTGGCTTCATTAACTCCTGAAAAGAAAGATTCTCAGCTAAAATACAACTGTACATACTAATGAAAAAGACTGCAATGGACTAATTATATATACATAAAATCACAGGATTTCCCAACGCACTGATTCCTTTCTTTAAATAAACAGATTCATTTCAAAGAAAATAAAAAATGACAGTGAGAGCATATTTTTCAAAAGAGTAGGGACAACGTTTCTTCCTTAGGTCATATCCACTTTAATCTGAATATTAAATATTCAGGAAAAAGAACATGGAATAAACTTATGTCTGTTTCTGTGTATGTTTTCAAAGGAAAGAGATAATGAATGAGCAGGAGGACAAGAGGAGGAAGAGATAGAGGAGAAAGAGGGTGAGAAAGAGAGACAGACAGACAGAGAGAGAAAAAGGAGCATCACAGCGTTGGCCAGGGTAGTCCAAGAGACTCCCAAAATTACCAGGCTATTGTCACAGTCCTTAATTGTCTCCCAGCACTTGAAAGTGAGACCCTATTGCTGAAGACAGGGCATAATTCAGACACAGGACTTGGAACAATGGAAATGACCTGAAAGACATCTCCCCTGAAGGCTAGCTCTCATAGATTTGGAGAGCGCTACACAAGCTGGTAAGGGAGAACAGCAATCGGTGGTCCAACCCCAGCTACACACCTAAAAGAACCATACCAATGACCAGCACAGAAAGTGATATTGGTGTAGTATTGGCACTTTTATCTTGGGGGTAATCAACAGCTACCTAATTGGACTTAAAGCCCATTCAGTGGGAGGAAACTCAGGTGTGGCACTTTAAACCTAGCCAAATACACATAGCTGGACAGGCCATGGATCTTAGAGGCTCATAGGAACCTAGAGCAATGGTGTCAGCATGCACAAGACCCACGAAAACACAAGCAGACAAAAACCCACCACAGAATGTGGAAATGGACAGGAGGCCCCAATCTGAGTCAAAGAATTATTGGCAGCTGAGACTGCTGGGTAAGGAAGAGCTGATCTTCTTAAAGGGTGGGATTCTAGATAGACTGACTAGATCTCAGAGGATAAACTTGTACTGAGGGACATCTGGGGACACTAACTTGACATGATAGACCTTAACACAAATGACAGAATGTATGAATTCCAGTGTGGGGATATGGGAGGGGGCCAATGGGGAAGGGGATATAAAGATGATTGAGACGTTCTGTATTAAGGATACAGTAATTTGAACAAAATATAGTCTCCAATTGGAATTCAGTTGTTATTTTTTCAAGTATTATATTCATCAGAATTGTTAATAGACAAATGTTTCTCTACATGCACAATTTCTCAAGAGAAAATGCCACGCAAAAAGTTGTAATTAGGCTTGTCTTTGGTATTTTAGTTGTGCCAAATGTACTGTTACTTAGTCTAGGCTGTTTTTCTTACTGTCATATATATATATATATATGTGTGTGTGTGTGTGTGTGTGTGTGTGTGTGTGTGTGTGTGTGTGTGTATATATATATATCTTATATGAAAGAACAGGATAGATTGTGCAAGATCAGAACTGTCATTAACTGGTTTATTCCAGCTGTGAGAGAGGAAATTGTCTATCATTAAATCATCATGCCTTTCAGGAGTCTCTGCATAAACCCTGCTAGCTTTGCAATGAATAATTTTATTTTGTTTTTGTTTTTAAAGTAAGTTAGGGATTGGGGAGAAGGCTCAGTTGGTAAAGTGCCGGCCATGCAAACATAAGGACCTGAGTTGGGATCCATCCCATCACCCACATACAAGCTAGGTGATGTCAGTGCCTGAAACCCCAGCACTGGAAATACTTGGAAGAATCTCTGAAGCATACTGGTCAATCAGTCCAGCTAAATCCATGAGGAAGACCCTGTGTCAACCAATAAGGTGAGAACAATCAAAGAAGACACCTGACATTGACCTCTGGCTTCCGCAGCCATGCACACACACGTGCATGCACCCCCAAATATGTATATACAGACCACACACACACACACACACACACACACACACACACACAAACACACACACTCAGAAACAGTTGAAGCTAAAATTTAGTATCCAGGACTCATTTGCTCAGTGACTATGCAGCTATATTAGGCTGTACCAAGATATTTTGAAGACTAGATCTTGGAAACAGGTAAATTTCAATTCCAGTTGCTGTTGTAACAATTTACTAGCTTTGTGATAATGGGAAGGCTTCTGAAATACCTAAGGTTATGTTCATTTATATGGAAAAAATGGGAGAATTCCTACAGTCTACAGGCAGAAGGACAATAAAATGTCATAATGCATTCCTACAGCCTGCATACAAGGCAAATAATAGGAGTTAAAGAAGTGGCTCCTGAAATGTGATTGCCTGTTTTGAAATCAAAATTGGAAGTCACTAATTTTCTTGTGTCTTGTTCTCATTAATAATGTTACAGAAGCAAGAAAGGCCTCTTAAGAGCTTGGATGGAGACCCAACTTTCCAGGTCTGTCACCTAGTCCCAGGATCAACCCTAGGAAGGTGAGTTCACCTTAAGTCATGCAAAATAGAATCCTTGGAATAATCCTTCTCCTTAAGGAGAAGGTGAACTTTTCCTACAGGGAGTCCCCACAACCTGAAGCAGCAGCTTCCAGACCAGGTCTCAGACACACAGCTTTCCATAAGTCTGTCCGCTTCTCTGAATTCTCTAAAGAGTAACCTCCTTTTCTATGTTTTTTCTATGCATGCTTTCCCTAACACTTTGGCCTGCCTGAAATTTGGGTTTCTTTACTTTTTCTAAAGCCCCTCTCCCTACCATGCTGCTGCTAGTTTAACATGGGTCGACTTCCGTGCTTGCAACTGACCTGGATTTTTCTCCTTCTCTTCTCCAATCTCCTCCTTCCAGCAGCTGCTGAGACTTAAAGTTTGCCTGTCCTGGGGGTTTTTATTTAAAAGTCTAATAAAATTGGCCTAAAATTCCCATTTGAGTCCATTCTTAAATTCTTTTATAAATGAGACTAAAAGGGAACTCATTTCTCCCATGTCAATAAGATGGAGCTAGTTAACTTTCAGGAGCAAATGTGTTAATATATGCAAGTGGGTAGACTACCTGCTGATACGTAGTAATAATAATAATAAGCCTTCATATCGTTCAATAAAATCAGAAGCCTGTATCACCATAGCAATATTAGTCTTACTGCAAGTTGTCAGGCACTATCTTAGGTCATGAGGACAGGAGGTAAAAGACACTTCCAGCATAAAGACAGGCAGAGTCTAGTGAACTTTGTTCTCCCTCCACAAATTCACTGATCAAGGCAAGCTTCTATTTACTAATACTTGGCTGAACACACGCTAAGGAAAAATTACATGAAACCTTTGATGAAGAAATGATTTTGCTCTGTTTATATCTAAGGATAGTGTAAAACCGAATAAAAGGCCAAGGACAGTTAGAATGGATCATAATTGTTATCTGGCCCCCATCCTAGACATGAAAGTACAAATGCTTTATACTGAGAAAAAGCAAATCATGAAGTCATCTTTCAGGAGTTTACTAACAAAATTATAAAATCTTCTTGTGCTACAAGTGTATACACACACACACACACACACACACATACACACTCCACTCACACTCAAACCAAAACTGTCTAAAATGCTAATCAGCCCATATCAGAAGAAACAGAGATGGGCCAGTGGATGTGCTGAAAGCCAAGTCATTGGGGAACAAAATGCCCAAAGTAATTGGAGTAGGAAATCAAGACCCAAACGACTTCAAGTGAAGGACACATAGGGCTGACCTAACAAGAGGACACTACTACATTAAAATAATGTTCTTTTAAAAAGGTTAAATGCAGAGCAAAAAAATTGGAAGATACGGACTGATAAGTAGACTTCTGGATTAAGGGTAATTAATATGAATCAGCAATGTGCTTTGACTGCTGAACTGCAGTCAGTGGTGGCCAGTAGAAGCCAGCAGGGTCTATGTAAGAAACAAAGACCCTGCAACACCACTGGTGACACTAGGTTCAGATGTCACCTGTTGTTTATGAATACTGAACATTTTAAGGTATGTTTTTATTGGCTTTTCTTGCACATTTCATATAATAAATATTAATCATATCTAGATCCCCTCGCCCATCCACATCCCCCTCAAAGCTTCACCCCCACCCCCCAACTAGATTTTGTACACTCTGTCATATATGTTAAGGCCTATCAAGTCAAGCTTTTGTACCTAGATGTCCCCTAGTGCAAGTTCATCTGCTAGGATGTAGTCAGCCTCTCTAGAGTCTCTCCCTTAAAGAATATCAGCTCTCCCTCACCCAGCAGTAATCAATTGCTAAACATTACTCAGCTAAAACTCTCTAGTTCTACGCTGGGTTTTAGTCTGATTGACTCTGCATGGGTCTTGTGCATGCTGTCAACATTGGTGTAAGCTCCAAGAGACCTGGAAGACTCTGTTTCCTTATGATCATGCACCAACCCTGGCTCTTACAAACTTTCTGGCCCCTTTTCTACAATGGTCCCTAAGCCCTAGGTAGGTGAGGTTTAATATAGGAGTCCTATCCAGGGACACAAACTCTGCAGACTGTTATTCTCTAGACCTTGGCCAGTTGTGGCCTTCTGTGTTCGTTGCACTCTGTTGCATGAGGAAACTTTGCTGACGAGAGCTGAAGGATAAATTAGTATGAATACTGAACATTTAGAGAGCCACTGTGAGACAGAAGGGAGTGCATGGTCTCACTCAGCTGGAATGTATATAGCACCTTGGATTCAGCCTTTCCCTAGATGCTGGGAATTTAGGAAACAGGATGAGTACACCCACCACGGTCTCTTCTAAAGATGGCAATGGGTGGTAAGTATGAAACAAAGAAAAGTAGTCATAGCATAGCCTGGATAAGTGCCATGAGTAAAATGAAAAGAAGGTGGTGACTTTAGGAAATGACAAGATTGAGTAAACAGACCAGGTGGTGGGATATTGGACATTGGTGCGATATTGGATCAGGACCAGCCATTTGAAGATACATTAAAGAGCACTCCAGGCAGGGGGACAAGTGCAAAGGATACAAGATGGAGAGACTGAGGAGCAGAGAGAAGGTTACTGCGTCTGAAAGCAGGGAAGGAGGGAGGTGTAATAAACCAGAGGGGAAAGGGAGGCAGGGTCAGATCATGCCACACCTTGTTAAGGGAGTGGTTCCAATTCATCATGTAATTACTAGTCATTTAAAAATTAAGTAGGAGTTGTAAAATAATTTGAATTATATTTTAAAACATGTTTGCACTGCTTTGTGACAATAAATTGAGGATGGGAAGCAGGGTCACAGTGGAAGGCAAAGAGGGTACAAGGTTGGGGAGGCCCCAGGCAAACGGGGAAGAGGCAGCGGTTCATCAAAGCTGATGCAAAGTGTGCGCTATGGGAATGAATGTGTCACCAAAGGCACCGTGAGGGAAAAGATCTTTCTGTCAAGGGAGGAACCTGGGAGATATTAGAGACACCTATCTCCTACTCATTAGTTAGCTCACTTCCAGAAAAAGGGAGCTTCTGCCATGTTGTCAGAAAAGGTAACAGGCTTTCTGTCAACAATTTAAAAGGCTGTGCACCTCCAGATTAGAGCCCTCCTCATTTATCACACACATTCTCTCTCTCCCTCTCTGTCTCTGTCTCTCTGTCTCTGTCTCTGTCTCTCTCTCACACACACATACACACATACACACACACATACACACACACACTCACACACACACACACACAAACACACACAAACACACTGAGGACACTGTATTTCCGTAACAAACTTACTGGAGCCCTGCTCATTCATCACATACATTCTCTCTCTCTCTCTCTCTCTCTCTCTCTCTCTCTCTCTCTCTCTCTCTCACACACACACACACACTGAGGATACTATATTTCTTTAACAAACTTCCTACATGGATTAACTACATTAATGTGAAAAAGGTACTTCATGTGAGCCTTTTATGATAAACACATAGTAAATGTTAGATTATAATAACTATCGCTAATAGAATTCCTTTTGTTGAATGAAAAATATAGGTAATTTTTAAAGGATTTTTGTTTTAGGAACTTTTTGAAAGGTGATGAAACATATGCCTTCTCTCCAGAGGAATGCAATATATGTACACACACACACACACACACACACACACACACACACACACATACACAAGACTCTGTACACAACTCAGTACTAAGTAGAATCCTTAACGGCCTGTCAGTAAACACTTCAGGAGATTAATAAACCCTTAGGGTTTATTGATAATTAATTTCAAGTGGAGAGAGTTGGGAAAGGTGGGCTTACATGTAACCTTGTTAACAAGTGAAGAAGTGATAACAGGGAAAGTTTCAGTCTTTTCTTTTTCTTTCTAAAAGTTATGTAGTTGCCTTTAGTGAGGAAAATATCATCACAGAGAGACGGAGGGTAGAGGAAGAAGGAGAGAAAGAGGGAGAAATGGACAGGCAGTGAGAGAGGGTAAAAAGGAGAGAGAGAGAGAGTGAGAGAGAGAGAGAGAGAGAGAACAAACTGAGAGAGCTGAGAGGGACCAGCATTAGGATCCTGAATGGCACCTCCAGAATCAGAGCTATAACCAAATAATCACGAAGCTTCCATCAGATAGAGATGCAAGCCAGGGTTAGCATGAGAACTGAGACGTCTCTGCATCTTCCTTGAGCTAAATGGGGAGAGACCTGCCAGGGCTGGGATTCCCATACTTCGGTGGATGGTTAGTCATACTCGAATCAGTCTTGAGTAATCCTTTTTAGCATTATTCAACTGCACTCTGCTAGGGCCTGGGAAAGTCTGAGAATGAGAACTCGTCTTGTTTACTACAGAATGCAGTCATGCATGACTGTATCTGCAACTCCCCCCCCCATGGCTAAAAGAACCATGCATGAAAGAGCTATGAGTCAAATCAAGGGGTTGGATTCTGGACCGAACAATGGGCTTTATGAAGGTAAACCTGTAAGGACAGTGTTTAGCACAGGAATGGCTAGACCTTTAGACAAATCTTGGCAGAGACATTGAAATGGTAGCATAAGCTTTGAATATAGTGTTTGAATTAAAATGATCTCTCTCTCTCTCTCTCTCTCTCTCTCTCTCTCTCTCTCTCTCTGTAATGTGTATGGTGAGTGGCTGTTGTATGTCTATGTGACTTGCATGGATCCTTTCTTCAAAGGAAACCTTACATAAAAGTCCAATAAATTACTTAGAAGGAAAGTCATTTTCAGTACAAGCCTTTAAAATATCACCAGATAAGGCCTAAGGCTGGGCAGGAGGCAGAGGTAGGTAGATCTCTGTGCAATTTAGGCCAGCCTGGTGTACACAGTGAGTCCCAGGCCAGCAGCGACTATAGGGAGACCATATTTTAAAAACAAAACAATACAAAACAAAATAAAACAAAGCAAAAAGCCCACCAGAAAGTAAATAATAGAGAAAAACTTATATATGGTAAAAAACTTGAAGTTAAACTCAGGGTACTTTCCTCTACACCAGCTTCATCCAGTTACCAGTCTAACTCAGCATACCTCTTCATGGACTTGGGGGAGAGTTCCTTTTCTACTTCCTTTACAGTCATGCTGTAAGAGTCCACATTGTATTCACTGTCGTCATCATACTCGTGGTCCAGCAGGGTTCTTGCCCAAGTCCCCATGTCATACGGGGGCAGCATTCCTCCAAACTCAGAGGGCAGGATCTCAGGATGAATTAGCTGGTGTAGACTGTTCAGGTTGTTACCATGCAAAAATATCTATAAATGCAAAGGGAGAGATGGGAGGAAAACACACAGAGATAACCAAATAGCATCCAGTGGCCATGGAGAAGAGGAGAGGATAGAAAAGCAAATACAAGAGGTTTCCATGTCTGTTACGATGATATTTAAACTTTTCACCTATTCTGTGAAGTAGGCAAAAGTGCATTATTATGTAGTATTTCATGTAAAAATTCTGAGGGACAGACATGTTTAGTTTCTGGATAACTACTGGGTTAAAGAGCGAGAACCACATACATGCTTTTCTGCTTTTCACTCAGAACAATGAGCAAAGAAAATAGTGCTCTTGCGTCTCCATATCACCCTGGTGTTAGCTGTGCAAACCTGGTGATGTGCATAATTACGCTGCTCAGAAAAACCCCTTCTCGTGGGGATTCAATTCCAGGGCTATCCAAGTTATCAAGGTCCAAACCTGCTATTGGTATGCAATCTATTGTCAATAAAAAAGAATACTATAGACATGATGTTATTGCTTTATTTATTTTAATATTTTATTTATTATTTTTATTTTATGTATACAAGTGTATTGCCTGCATGTATGTAAGTATACCCGCAGAGGTCAGAAGAAGGCATTGAATTCTCCTGGAACTGGAGTTACAGATGGTTGTCAGCCATCATGTGAGTGCTGGGAAACAAACATGGGTCTCCACAAGAGAAGCCATTGCTCTTAACTGCTGAGCCATTTCCTCCAGCCCTGATATTATTGCTTTATAATGTAAAGTGGATGAGGTGAACAAAAGTAGAGTAGCATCTTCATAAGGAAAAGCTGGATGAGGTTCATACCCCAAAGGATATGTGTTCTGCATTAGTGCCAACATCCTTTGTTCTGGAGATTTCCATATTCATTATCCAAATGGAAAACAGGATAAAGAATCAAAGTGCAACATCATAAGTATACTTTAGTTATAGGTGTTATCTACCTAGAGTATTTTTATAAAGCCGAAGACTAATTCAAGTCACAACCTCAACATTGTTACCTTCATCAATTGCTACCACTTTCTTCTTTTTTATTAATATTTAAATACCATTCATTAACATGTTAATATACAAAACTGAAATAAGATACCAGTGAATAAGAAACTATTTTCAGCAATTAATAGAAAATAAAAACCCCTATCAGAAAGTCTCTTTAAGAAGACAGCTCACACCCTGGTTGCAAGAGACAGAGAAATCAAGCTTGAACTGAGCTGGAAACATCCTCCATGCTGGTCAGATTTTACAGTGCTGAGGGGAAGGGGCATCAGTAGTCTTATTTATCTGCTAATCTTGCAAATGTCAATATCAACTCACCAGGCAAGATGTGCCCACAATAGTGGCATGACTGTTAACCATCTGCTCTAAGACTGGTTTTAAGGACCGCTCCACAAGAAGGAATTTATGTCTACTTCTGTAAACCACATTTTTAAAAAATCATAGCTGAAGAGGTATTGGGCCCTAGGTGGGAACATATTGCTACTGTTTAGCTAAATTACATTGCACCAAAATGCTTTCTAAATATTTATGTTTAAGTCCATAGATGAATGCACCTCTCTGAGAAGTCAGAGAAGCTTCTCTTTGCAATGAATGCCAGTGAATACAGAGACACGTGGCTACTCAAGACACAGGGTTCAGCCCTAAAAAAAAACATTTATACTATTCCCACTAAGTCTTAGGGGACACTGTGGAAGAAGGGGAAGTAAGAATGTGATAGGAAAAAGTGAAATACTTTCTTATAAGTGTGACACAGACAATGTAATCAAGATCCAACAGCAGCTGCCGACAATGTGCTTACACAAGACCAGCCTGTCAATAGTCCTGCTGAACTACTGGCCACAAGTGGATTATAGAGGAGGGGCAGACGTTGTCTTCAATAGTGTGCCTACTGATGAGATGGCAAGGCTGTAGTGGATAGTTCTAAACCCGCGGTCACATAGAAAGCTCTAGTTAAATTCAGTGGGTCATGAAAGAAAACAAAAAGACAAACATGAATGTGTGCAAAGAGATTTTAGGGGTGTGGATTATAGGGCTGGGAAAGAGATAAGAGAGAATAAAGGGGGACCATCATCAGAAGGCACTATAAATCAACATATATACCAAACTGTCAAAAAAAAAAACAGATTAAACAAAAGATTTAAAAGAAAAAAATGTGGAGTTCTAATTCTTTCTTCATAGCCAGTCTTCTATTATCAATTAGGTGTGGTCTATTCTCAATCTAAGAATCATAGATCTTTAAAGTATAACTTCTCCTACTTTTTTATGTCTACCACCTCAAAACCACATACCAACCTTCTCCAGAAAGCACCATATTTATTTCATATGAATTTTTGTAATATTTATTTGATAAGTGCAGTTTGAAAGTAAGTTAATTGTATACTTCTGGTTCAAGATGAACCTTCATTTTTGTCCCTGCCTTTAGAATCTAGATTAAATATGTAGGAAAGTAAAGAACTAGTAGTGTGTAACATCATAAAATTCAGAGGAATGGAACTCACTAATTAAGTATCTTTAATGAATTATGGGAGATTAAAAACAGGTGACAACCAGTCATTAACCAAAGTACACAGGACAATCAGCTTCCTTAATACATGATTACAGGAGGCTACACAGGTAGAAGATGCCATCTGCCCTACAGTGAACCAGGCTAATTGTGAATTTAACACCTTCCTGCTGCAGTTTGAGATCACAACAGCTAGTATTTATTTCTGAGCAAACATATCAACACACACACACACACACACACACACACACACACACATAAACCAATATAGTTCTAATCAGAAATAAGAATACTTTTCATAAGGAAGTTCTGAAATTTTTATTTCATCAGTTTTCCAACTTTTTTGGAAAAAAAAAAGCGAGAATAGAACAAAATAGAAGACCCAAGCATGACTATACAAATTACAGCCACCTGAAACTTGACACCTCGATCCACTGGAGGAAAGACAGCATCTTCAACAAACGGTGCTGAGAAAACTGGCTGTCCAGCTGTAGAAGAATGAAAATAGATCCATATCTGTCACTCTGCACAAAAATCAACTCCAAATAGATCAAAGACCTCAATGTGAAACATGAAACACTAAAACTGTTAGAAGAAAACATAGGCAGTTACCTACAAGACATAGGTATAGGAAAGGACTTTCAAAATTGAACTAGATTCACTCAGGAATTAAGGCTAACAATTGATAAAAGGGACCTCATTAAACTAAAAAACTTTTGTACAGCAAGGGATACAACTAGTCAACTGGAGAGGAAGCCCACAAAGTAGGAGAGAACCTGCCAGCTATATCTCAGATTGAAGGCTTAATTTAAAGAATACACAAAGAAATAAAATAAACACTCAAGAAATAAAATGGCCCAATTGAAAATGAACTATAGATCTGAACAGAGAGTTTCTCAAAAGAACAAATAAAAATGGCTAAGAAACACCTTAAAAAGTATTCAACCTCCTTAGTAATTAGGAAAATGCAAATTAAAACTACTTTAAGAGTTCATCTTACCCCAGGATGAATGACTAAGATCAAGAAAACAACTGACAACAAATGCTGACAAGGAAATGTGGGGATTTCCTCACTCACGGCTGATGTGATTGCAAACTGGTGCAGCCACTGTGGTAATCAGTGTGGCGAATGCTTGAAAAAACTGGAAATAGATCTACCACATGACCCAGCTATACCTCTCCTTGGGCATACACCCAGAGGACTCGATATACTATGACAAAGATAACTTTGTCAGCTCTTTTCATAATAGCTACAAAATGGAAACAGTCTAAATGTCCCTCAACCAATAAATGGATAATAAAAATCTGGTGTGCTTATACAATGAAATTCTATTCAGCTGTAAAGAAAAATGAAATCATGAAATTTGCAGGTAAATGGATGGAACTAGAAACAGTCAACCTGAGTGAGGTAATCCAGGCTCAGAAAGACAAAGTTTTATCTCATATGTTCCTCAATGGGCTTAAAAAGAAAAAAAGATAACAGAATGTAGATGGGAAGGGTGGACCTGTGAAGAGGTTGATGTGAGATGTTGAACATGATCAAAATATATTGTATGATATACTCAAAGAAGTCATTAAAACCTTATTTAAAATTAAAAATAATCTAAAATATTTTAAGTCATGCAGGATTTGTGATTAAAAACAATCCCAAGCACAGGAAATATAATCTGACACACTGCTGCCACGCCAACACTCTGCTACCTCCTACCTCAGCATCCCTCCTACCTCAGCATCGCTCCTACCTCAGCATCCCTCCTACCTCAGCATCCCTCCTACCTCAGCATCGCTCCTACCTCAGCATCCTCTCCAGCTTTGGCCTTACTTCCACTCTCACTGAGGAAATAGGGCTGCAGCCAGATGAGATCCACCCACCAGCATCTGTGTCTATGTGTTCCCTTCCCCACTAGAATAAGAAAACATAAACCTCATAAAGGCAGATCACTCCACATGTTACAAAGACCCCTTCTCTCTCCTCAACTCAGGCATATTTCCCAGTAATTATCCCTTATTTGTCCATATCACAAATTCCTCCTCTCTGTCTAATCTGAGAAAAAACTGACTGATTCCACTATCATAAAAACAGACACATAACCCCTCTCTTGGCTCTTTCTCCACTTGCAATTGTTATCCTAGCTTCTCTCCATCCTTGACAGCAGAACTCACCAAAGAAATTTCTATTCACTGTCCAAATACAAGGACCCTCTTCTCACTTTGCACAAATCTTTGCCCTGAATCTTAACATTACCTGAAATCTGCTTCTGCCAAGATGGTTTCTCCTGCTAAACTTAGTGTTAAACTCTCAGTCTTCATTTATCTGGAACCCTCACTAGCACTGGGTAAAGTACATGGCTTTCTTCACTGAAACATTCTCTTTGAGTATCATTGGTTTTCTTCTGCCTTGCTACATTCTTTAGTAATTTTGCTGAATGTTCCAACAGCTTACCCTTGCAGAACCCAGGGTCCTAATTCCCAGATTTTAAACAATGCTCTATCATAATTTCTTTCATTTCATTTCAATCTGTGGCTTTATAAAACTAACTGTACACTAAAGACCTGTGTCATGAATTCATATCTTGCTCTTGAGCTCCATATTTGAATTTTCATTCTCCTTGGCATTTACACTCATTGTTCAGTGGGTACCTAAAACCTAACTCATTCTTCCCACCCCAAACTGCTTCTCCCTATTTTCAGCATCAGGTAATGGTTTGATTATCCTTCTAGTTTCTCATAGCAAAACTCATAAAGTATGCTTTATTTCTCTCATTATCCAAGTTACTCATAAATCATTTCTGTGCTGTCACTCTGATGACCTCCTCCCCTACAGTCCTCACTCTAGTTACTGCCATTCTCTACTGCTCTATGGAACAGGCTGCCTGAATGATCTTCCGGCTTCCACTCGTCTTCCTGCTCTCTCTTAACTGGGCAGCCCAGATGCCCATGTCAGCATACAGGTCAGATGATATCATTCTGCTCAAAATTCTCCATTGGTTTCTCTGTTCTCTTTGAGCAAGCCCCACAGACCCTACAAGAGCTACTCTCATGAATGCATCTTCTATTACTCTTTTAGAATATTTACAACGGATCTTTCTTATTCCTAGAGTCTTCTGCCTCCACATGTCCCATGACTTACTCTCCTATAGACTACACAGTCTTTGCTGCAAAGCATCCATATCAGGAAACCCTCCACAGATGAACATATTTACTGCTCTATCCCTGCCCAATGTGGAAAACAGTATTCAGTTTTTCTGGATCATGTGTTTTTAACAAGACCATTCATCTTACAATGTGTTACTTAATTTAGTTTCAAGATGCACATTCAGCATGAAGATTCAGAAATCATAATAAAGTATTGCAAAAATGCCCTCCATATTAAGACACTCTGTTAGAACTTTTAAGTGTGAACTGCTCCTCTGGATTGGATAATAGAAATGTACCCCAAGAGGTCAACTGGTAAAGTTTTGCTTTTAGATTTTTTTCTTCATCATGATTAGTTCTATGCATTAAGATTTTTATTGAAGTGTAGAAATGTAATCTTTGCTTTATGTGTTGATTATGTAAGTAGAAATTGAAGACATTTAAACTCTATTTTATATGAACATTTCCAAGTCATATAATTTTACTAAAACTGCAAAGTTCAATTACCCTGCTTCCATCTGGAATGGTGCCAACAATGCATTCTTGTGAACGTTGTTAAAATGATCCCATTCAATCACAAAAACCCAAACTTATTGCTCTCTTTGTTTACTAAACTTGATCCTTTCAGCCTTATCTCAAGAGAACAGAATCACGTCATAGCATGTCAGAATGAGACACTCATACAGTCAAGACCTTTCAAGTTCCTCTCATTTCACCCAGACTGAACACCCAAAGCCCTGTAATGGCACATGATCATATGTACCATACTTCTTCTATACTAGCCCTGACTACCTTCCCTATTGTTCACTCTACTCCAGTTTTTCTGGTGTCTTTGCTTTTGTTCGGTGTTGTAGATATATGTCTACCTAGGACTTTTGTTTTTGCTAGCCCTTCTGTGCGGAAGTTTCTTCCACATAAACCTGCACCTCCAGCTCTACTACCTACTCATAGTGATACACAGCAGACATCTTAGCCTTCTACGCCTCAGTTCCCATTTATGAAGTGAGAAAAAAGGTGAATACTTACCCTGAAGTGCTGCTGCAAGGATTAAATAAGTTGACAATTGGAAAATGTTGAGATCAGCATGTGGCAAGAGTAAACACACATAAGCATTACATAGTGTAATTTGAGTTAAATCCCCAGCAGGTGTTTTGGATAACCTGATTACTTCTACATGAAACAAATCTTGGAGGTGCATTTCTGAAGCACTTCAGTATACTTTTGAATGCTAAGATATGCATAATTTCATGCTTGGTAGTAGAAATAATTTTAATATAAATTTTAATTGTTCAAATAGTTCTTCCTCCTAAACTATTGGAATATTTTCAACAAACCCATGCACATTCAACCCTCTCCTCACTAGTACTTGATGTGAACACGTAATTACTGTGGTTTTACACTCACAATGAAGGGTTTAAAATACTAGAATATCTGAAACACTTAATAATTGAGACACATATTGCTATTATCATCCACATAGGTTTAGAAGTGAGTATATTGCAAAGGAACTAGTCATTTAGTGGTGATTAGCACAAGGAGGTAAAAAGTGTTCTAAATATGGAGCTGGATGATTTGAGTTTATGTATTAGTTCTACAACTTTACAGCTGCATATATACATATATATATATATGCAAGTTACTTCTCTATCCTCAGACTTCCTTCCTCAGCACTGAAAGAGTAGAGTGTGTTTACTAAATTTACTTTTCAGAGTTTATCTAGGAAAGCAGTAATCAGAGGCTGGTGAAGAAGGGAAGAAATAGGTTGGTTCATGGATACAAATTTTTCTTTTGGTAAGAAAAATAAGTCAGGGTCTAAAGTGATGGCTCAGAAGTTAAGAGCACTAGCTGCTCTTGCAGAGGACCTGGGTTTGATTCCCAGCATTCACATGGCAGCTAAGAACTGTCAAAAACTCCAGTTCTGGGGGCTGGAGAGATGGCTCAGCAGTTAAGAACACTGGTTATTTTTGCAGAAGACCCGGGTTCAAATCCAAGCACCCACATGGCAGCTAACAACTGTGTGTAACTCCAGTCCCAAGGGATCCAACAGCCTCTTCTGACCTCCATGGGCATTGCACGACATGGGTGCACTTACCTACATGCACGCAATACATGCATACACATAAAATAATAAATAAAAATAATTTTAAAAAGTCCAGTTCTGGAGGATCCCATGCCCTTTTCTGGCCTCCTGGGGCATTGCATGCATGGGTACACTTACATACATGCAGGCAAAATACTTATACACATAAAATAAAGATAAAAGTAAATAAATAAATAATTTTTTAAAGAAAAAAGAAAAATATGTCAGAATGAGGTGACTATAGAAAATGATAATTCATTGTGTATTAGAAAATGCTACGAGAAAAAAATTTTTTGGCCTTTATGAAACAGGGTTTCCTGTAGCCCCAGCTGGTCTGGAGCTCACTATGTAGACCAGGCTGGCCTTGAACTCACAGAGATCCACCTGCCTTTGCCTCCCAAGTGCTGGGATTACAGGTGTGTGCCACCACGCCTGGCTAAGAAAAAAATTTAAGTGCTTTCATAACAGAGAAACAATAATTTTAAAAGATGGATACATTTACCCTCATTTGAATACTCCACAATGTATGTATGTTTTCATAAATACATAAATAAAAAGCAAATGTTTAAGCAATATTTTAAAGGTACTTTCTAGAACTGTTAAAAGGCTTAAATGAAATACTGTAGATTAATGTGCATTTTAAAACTCTGTGTTCAATAAAAATGACTGTTCAGATTTACCATGTACCATGTGCTGACTATAATCATTGAAATAAGTTATTATGATCCCAGGAAAATCATGCTTTTCTTTTGTGTACTTTTATTATCCTCCTTGTTAGACGAACCTCAATCTTAGGCTAATTAGAATAACATATACTTAAAGAAAGATCAAACTTAATGCACTTTAGCATTATTATCAAAATACCTGATGTATTGCTACACAAATATATCAGATCCTGCAAAATTCACTTCATTTCAGTAAATACTGTGAAATAGCAAGTATCCATTCATTGACAAATAAAATACGAACTACATCTAGACCTTACTTGAAATTGCGAGTGCCAATAATAATGTGATAACATGACATAATTTTTTTGAGCTTTACAGTAAGACTGTCAAATTGAGTGAATGTACTGAAATGTTCTTTCCTTTTGGTGAGAAAGCAGAAACGCTTGTTTTTAAATCCTCCATTCACAAAACATTGGTGAGAATTAATCATAAGTACTGCAAGAATTTTAAAATGTATTTTATGCTGAATACTTATGACAACATTAAAGCATACTTTATCATGACTGATATTAATCACACAGTATTGACCATAACTCAGTGAATAGAGTGGGGAACAGATTGTAAAGAAAAAAAAAAAAAACCCTACCCTTTTCCGAGTCTTCTCTTTCAGGAAAGGCCGGATCACAGTGTACAGGGCATGGATATACCATGGTTGATTGACAAAATGAATTCCTCCAAATCGCGCTGGGAAGCTATCCTAGAGCAACATGGAAGGGATAAAAGTCAGGGTGGGCTTTTCTACACTGGGATGGTTCAGGAAGATCACATGGTGTTCAAACACATAAATACACATACTAAAAGGAAATTATCTGTGCAGCAAGAGAAAAGCACTTTACCACATGAGACCCTCTTAAGAAACTAAAACAATGTATAGTAAAGCAAGTCTTTCTCAAGAACAGGTTGCTAAAAAGAATTTCTTCAGTTATTTATAGTGGAAATGATATTTTATATCAAAGTGCACTTTAGGGTCAGCATGATAGCTCAGCAAGTAAAGGTGCTTTCTGCCAAACCTGAGGACCTGAGTTCAATCCCTGTGACCCACAGGGTAGAAGGAGAGAACCAACATCTAAGGATTGTCCTTTGACCTCCACATGTGCACATGTGTGCATACATGCACACACATATACACACACAATAAACCAATAAATAAACAAATAAATTAATAAGTGAGAAAAGAGACTGGAAAGATAGTTTGGTGGGTAAAGGCACTTGTCACCAAGCCTGAGCTCAACCCTCAGTACCCACAGGATAAAAGGAAAGAACCAATTCCTACAAGTTTCAGGCACTTCTCCCCACTTTAAATGTAAAATAGAACATGTTTCAAATCATATTTTATTCGCTTCATCTTATTATTTATAGGATTTATTGTAAACATTCTCTGCTTATTTCAACTATAAAGAAGCAAACAAACTGAAAACCCCGAGTTACACTGCAGGAAATCTGAGGGTACATTACTAAATTAAGTGAGAGGAGAAAATTTCTGAGCTCGCTCCAGGGGAACAAAGTGAAAAGTTGCTAAAGTCAGCCTCCTCTTCAGCAAAACTTAATGTAAGTTTGAGCCAAAATGACAGAGACAATACATTTGCAAGATGACAGTTTTATAGAGTTTGATGGTAGAAAGATGTTGGATTTATTAAGAACCCAGAAGAAGCTGGCTTGAGGATGACTTTCTCCAGACAAGGTCTGTTCCAGCTCTACAGGGTATGAGGTGTTAGTCACCTTGCATGGATTTAAATTAATTTCCCTTCCTGGGGCTTCCCTATCTCAAATAATAAATTTCAGACACTCATGAGATAATTATGGACTTGAGCAACCTAGGAAGATTGTCATCATCGTCATTACTAATATTGACATGGTTCATTTTGCATCTAGCTGTAGGCATGGCAGGGCAATTACGTTGGTAGTTTTCTGTCCTGCTGAAGCTTTCCCTCAGAATACACACCCAGAGTAATGCAGGATATATATACAGTCGCCTATTTGCCCTCAACAGGTACAAGCACACCCACACCAAGCACCCAGAAGCCTGTACAACTGTGGGTTCTGGCTTTGCATTTTACTCCAGAGCTGCCTGGACCTCTCCTAGTGTCCTCTTTGTCACTGCAGAATTTGTGTGTGTCGGTGATGCATCCAGAACTATTTTTCTTATAATGTACCTAATACCTTTCTCCTTCAATGGCAGGAAGATTGTTAGGAACTAATATCCTCCTGAATTACCTAAAGCAGGACTACTTACTACACATTTAAAATTTACTCCTGAATAAGCATTTGTTCTCTACAACAAAACTGAATGAACACTAGCTCTCAAAGCTATTAAGCCTAGAGTCTTAGCTCAGAATACTTAGGTTTTGACAATTATAAGGGTTTCACACACTTTTGTTCCTGGAAAATTAGTACGTACTATTTATATATAACTATCACATAATGTTAGGAGTTTCATGTACATGTCTTTCCATGCACAATGGGCTCATACCAAATTATGGTTGAAGCAGAGTGTGTCAGCAGGAAAGGGCCTTGCTTTCAATTAAGTAGAACTAACTCAGAATTCTGACTTAATCAAGCACCAAAATCCAAAATGTAATCAGATTCCTTCTTGTCTCCTCTGTGATTTTTTTTCTAAGCATGTTCCAAGTCTTCAAATATTTACACTGCCTACCCCCAAGACTGTGAAGCTTCAGATTTCCATTCAACAACCAGGCCAACATGAACCCAAGAAAACCTAAAAACCATCACCTCTATGCCATGCTGTTTTCATGTATGCCCTGATACCAGTGGTCACCAGCTATTTCATGGCTTGTAGACTTTGTTCTCTCCCTTTTGCCCAGCATGGTCACCTCTATCCCTTTACATATCTTCTGCTCCTACTGAGCTCTTTAGGACTTACCTCAGGAAGCAGCATTTCCACAAAGCTTATTTTTGTTCCTTCTCTCACATCTTACCCTAGTGCTCACTCACAAAAGCCCTCCCTCTGCCACTAGCATCACCATGCTGAAATCAACCACCGCATTTGTCTCATTAATCCCAATATGTCTTTATATGTGTGTGCATGTTTGTGTGCACATATGAGTATAGGTGTGTATGCAGGTATGTGCATATATATATATATA